CCCCCCCCCCCCCGCCTTCGAGGGCCTGGCAGGAAACGCTGACACAGTGGGAAAGTGCACCCTAATAAAGAGGCAGCTGTGTCTGCCGGTGAGCCTGGTCCCTGTGCACCCCCCAAGGGTGGGATCAGCTTCCTTCCCCTTTTTCGGTGGGGGAGGGAGTGTAACAGAATCTGAAATCATCAATGTAATGGTACCGGGAGGTTGACACCGTAGGTGTGTGGAGGAGCCCCCTGCACTCCACGGTGCAGTGCCAACACAGCCCCAGGTTGTATGTGTGTACTTGCATGTGCATGTAAGAACACCGAGTGTGTGTATGTGTGAGTGCACACCAGGTGTATGTGCTTGTTTGGCATTTGCCTCTGCCAGTGTGAGCATGCCCAAGTACCATGCACACCCACCTGTGTGTGTGTCGCCTGTGCACAGGTCTGTGGAATCCCTTGTGGGCAGGCTTAGCGCCAAGGGCAGTGTGGTCAGACAGCACATGGGGAGGGAGGGCCGGGTGTGGCCAGATGTTGGATGCAGCCCAAGGCCCAGGTCTCCCAGGGTCCCGCCCTGGCCTTGTGAGTGCGCCCCCATGGCCCTGCTCTGTGGCCCCCTCACCCCAAATATGTGAGTCCCGAATCTGGGCCTAGTGGGATTGAAGAACAAATTTCCTCAGGGTCTCAGCCGCCTTGAGGCAGGGAAGTGAGTAACTGCTACCTCCAGGTCTCCTGCTCCCCTGCCTGGGAAATGTGGCCATGTCCTCCCCGTGCTGCTTTGGGGTATGGGAAGCACCCTGGGGGATTTGTACTCCTAGTGGGTGAGGTCTGCCTGTGTTGTGCCTGTGGTCAGCAGGGCCACCTGACCTCAGCGCTGCATCTTTTCCCCGAAGTTCCGTCCTTGTGGGAGGTGGTAGCCTAGGGCTCCAACTCCCCTGGGCTTCGGATGGCAAGAAGAAGCCATGGGACACCTTTGAGGGCAGACCCACAGCTACAGGACCAGAGGGGTAGGGAAGTGTCCTGGTGCTGTGGTGCGAGTGATTGGTGGCCCGCAGCTCCTGCTCTTGAGGCTCTGGGGACAGCCGGGCAGGGGTGACCTCTCCTGTGTAGGCCCAGGGAGGCGCAGGCGTTAAGAAGGTATTTGTTTGTTCCCTGATGCTGAGCACCCTTCAGAGGTGAGGACCTGAGCAATGCTGGATAGGTGGATGGGCAGGTGGGGCCCAGTCCCCATACAGTGGCAGTCTTTGGTGCTTTTTTTGAGACAGGGTCTCACTATGTAGTCCAGGCTGCCCTTGAACTTGCTGTAATCCTCTGGCCCCAGCCTCCGGAATTCTGGGATGACAGGTGTGCACCACCATACCCTGCTCTTTTGGTGTTTTGTGACCCCTGATTCCTGCAGGTGCTGGCTCTTTTCCCTGTGTCCTAAACACAGACCCTAAAGCCACTTTGGAACTCGTGTCCCCAAGAGGGGAGGGCCAGGTCGTGACAGGTGTCTCCTGTACCTAGGGCTGTTGGTGACCCAAGTGCAGGATAATGACCCTGGAGCCCATGGTCCATCCCAAGCAGGAACAGATCCCTAAGTGAAACCAAAACAGGCAGTATTGGTTGCTGCATTTTGAAATTGACAGTAATGTGCCCAGATTCCTGTGGGCAAATTACTTGCTTTCCTGGGAGTCTCCCACCCCCGCAGGCCAAAGGCTCTGGGCACCAGAAGGGGTGAGGGTCCAGGCGGGCAGTAAAGGACTGACTCAGGGCTGCCAGGTGGGGCAGCCAGGCCACCATGCAGACAGCAGGAAAGAAGGTCCCTGCCCAGGCTCTAGGCACCTGGCCACCCGCCTCAAGTGCTGTCTGTCCAGCGGTGGCCACTGGCCTGTCCTGGGGTGTCGGGTACGCTGAGTGAGTGCTCGCCCCGTCCCCAAGGGGTGGAGCAAGTGTTCATGGTTGTGGTCTCCTTGTTGCCTGGGCTTGCGGGCCCTGTCAGGGTGTCCAGATGTGGATGGAAGTGAGCAGCAGAGCTTGTTGGAAGGTGAGAGGGCGGGCGGTGCTTTGCTTGGCGTGAGCAGAACATCCTTGGAGGTAGGTTTTCTGACTCCTCTGCTGCCCCGACCTGGCTGGGTCTCAGTTCAGTACCTGTTGGTGTAGCCCAGGCCTGAGGGAGCTGGCCAGGAGCTCCCTCAGATTTTAGAATGACTGGCCCCGCCACCAGTCAGGCCTCCTGGATCCCCAAGTAGATGCAGGGGGCTCTTGGGTGGCCCCGGGGGTGTTTCGGGGCACAGCTGGGGTCTGGTGGCTCTGCCTGGGACTAGAGGAAGGTGCTCAGTACTGGGGGACTGGGCGTGGCAGCCTGAACCAGAGCAGGCCACCCTCAACTCAGACCCAGGGTTTCCCTGGAGAAACCAGCTGATCTGGAAACCTGGGCCGCATTCCTGTGCAGGAGGCCCGCGTCCCCTCCTGTGGGGCCCAGCTACACCCCAGCCCGGCCCTCCCCACCCACCCAGCTCCCACGGGAGGATGCTCTCTAGGAGGGGGTCCACCTTCCCAGAGCCTGCCCTGCCTCTCTCCCCACTGGTTACTCAGCCTTGGTTTCCCTGTACATGGCCTGGCCTCAGACAGGGACCAACTGCCTGGCACTGCAAGTGCTCTGGGGTTGGCAGCAAAGAGGCCCCATCCCTTTGATTTCCCCATACCATACCCTCCCAAGGCACTGGGGACTCTGTAGAGGGGTCCTGAGAAGGGCCCTAGGTGGAAGGTTTCACTGGAGGGTCAGGGGGCCTGCAGCATCCTTGGATCCTGGTGAGCAGAGGCCTCTCCACCAGAGGCAGAGGGCAGCTCAGAGGCCCCAAGCATTGGAGCCGCTCCAGATATCCT